CTCCAGCCTCACTCAGGGTGACGTGGAGAGAATCCAGAAGCGAAGGAGAGGTTGGGGAGAGACGGACAAAGACTGAGAACGGACAGATGGAGGCTGGGGACAGACTGATGGATGGAAGCATCGCAGTGTTTTCTGAACAAAAGGACAAAGGCCAAGGGGCTGACGGAGGGTGGAACGATGGACCGAGTGTCCACGTGATGACCCTGAGCCGCCGGGCGACCCGTGAGTGGCCGCCTGGCTGCCAGGAGAGGGGAGCGGGGTCCCTCCCCGAGCGGATGACTCACCCCCGAGGAACCCGCTCACATCCCGGCTGCCACCGCCCGCGGCGCAGCCCCCGGCCCGGGGCTCACCCAGGTGGTTCACACCAAACTGCATCTCGAAGCCGTCCTCGGTGGTCCAGTGGGGGCACCGCATCACGGCCGCGTTGTTGACCAGAATGTCCACTCGCTCCTCCTCTGGAAGACAGGGGTGCGGACAGATGCGTCGGGGGTGAGGACAGGCTCCACCCCTGCCTGAGGCTCCCCGCGCATCCCTGTGCACCCGGCGCCGGTGAAGGCGTCTTCTTTGGGAACGGGGTCTGTGCAGTAACAGCTGAGTTAGGATGAGGTCACTAGGGTTGACCCTAATCCAATGCGACTGGTGTCCTCAAAGGAAGGGAAAACAGAGACTCAGAGACACACAGGGAGAAGGGCCATGTGACCACGGAGGCAAGGACTGAGAGGTGTGGCTCTGAGACAAGGACGAGCAGGGAAGGACCCTCCCCAGGCTCGGAGGGAGCGCGGCCCAGCAGACACCTCGGTGTCAGACTTCTGGCCTCCAGAACTGTGAGAGAACAAACTGGTGTTTCAAGCCACCTGGTTCGTGGCACTTAGTTACAGCAGCCCCGGGACACTCAGACACCCCCGTCTAAGCCTTGGAGACCTTTCCTGCAGGGGCCCCAGGGCCTCAGACGGGGGTGACCAGCAGGAGCCGAGGAGTTGGGGGCGGATGGCACCGGGTCTCATTCCCAAACCTGCCGCTGCCCTTGCACAAGCACCTGGAGGACACACAGAGACCGGAGCCTCAGTTTCCGCTTCTATAAAACGGGTGAGTAACAGAGCCTGCCCCCCTGGATCAGCTGGCTCGGGCTGCCCTGACAAAGCACCACAAACCACATGGCCTGAAACAGATGCATCCTCTCACCTTCTCTCACCGTTCTGGGGGCCGGAAGAGAAACAGGGAGAAACACCCCAGCTTCTCACCCCCACCTGCCCTCCGCGCCTGCCTGGGCCTCCACTGGCCAAACCCAGAAAGCCCAGGCGAGGGGCCTGGGGAAGGCAGCCTGAGACTGGGACAAAGCAGGGAAGGGAAGGAACACACCTGAGGGCACAGAGGCCCAAGAGAGTCTCACACACATTTCGGGGGCGGATGTGACAGCCATCACTGTGGTCTGAACATTGTGTTCCCCCAGGATCCATGTGCTGAAGTCCTCACCCCCACGGTGACGGTATTAGGAGGTGGGGCCGCTGGGAGGTGACGAGGTCATGAGGGTGGGGCCCTCACACATGAGATTGGTGTCCTTACAAAGGAGGCCCCAGAGCGCTAGTGCACCCCCCTTCTACCAAGTGAGGACTCAACAAGAAAGTGGCCATCTGCAGCCCAGAAGACAGCCCACGCCAGGACCAACCATGCTGGCACCTGGATCTCAGAATTCCAGCCTCCAGAACTTCGAGTGATGAATGTCTGCTGTTTACAAGCCACTGAATCTATGGTACTTCACAGCAGCAGCCCAAACAGACTAAGACAGTACCAAAACTCCAGACTCCCAAAAGGAAAGCAGAACTGTACAGTTTAAACACAACGAGCCACTCTTATCAGCTCTGGCAACAGTGGGAACCCTCCTGTGCAGTAAAGGGTTAACTCAGCAGGCCTGGATTGCCCAAACCCCACACATTCCAAAGAAAGGCCTGGCTCCTGGGAGATAACCCCTTAGCGCCCTCCCCCAAATATCCTGTCTGATAAGAGCACGTGTGTTTACCTGGGGCCTTGGGCCATGCCAGATAGTCTATGTTAACAATGCGATTTAGGGTGGGGGTCTTGGGCCATGCAGAGGGCCTGGACACTAAGTAAATAAGTCATGCAGGTGCTCCACGGCTACATCATCAACCCCCAATAAAAACCCTGGACTCCGAGGCTCAGGGGAGCTTCCCCGGTCGGCAATACTCCAGACTTATTATCACACGTGTTGTGGGGAGCAGCACCCTTCCGCAAACTCCACTGGGAGAGGACAGGTGGAAGCTCGCACCTGGTCTCTCCTCGACTCTTCCTCACGCACCTTTTACCTTTGCTGATTTTAATCTGTATCCTTTCACTATAATAAAACCATAACCCTGTGTGTAACAGCTTTGCTGAGTTCTGTGATTCCTTCTAGCAATCATCATCCCTGAAAATGGCCTTGGGGACCTCCAACCACACCTCCAAAACCCAGGTTCCCAGACGCCAGCCACGGGCCAGCCTTAGGAGCAGGCCTTTCTACACACAGCAGCTCGGCCACGGCATGTCAATCCTTTTCATACGCCCAAAAAATGTCCAGGACATCCAATCCCATCTTAACATCTGCTTCTTGTGTGATGCAAACTACTGCAGAAGGAGTTAGTTTTCCTATAGAGCAAAAGTCAGGAAACATTTTCTATAAAGGACCAGATATTAAATATTTCTGGCTCTGCAGCCCAGACATCCTCTGTCTCTGCCAATCTCTGCCACCGTAACACAAGCAGCCACACACAACATGTCGATGAATGAGCATGGCTGTGTTCCAACAAAACTATTTGTGCACCTGAAATCTGAACTTCAAAAAATTTCACGTCACAAATTATTATTCTTTTGATTTTTTCAACCATTTAAAATTTAAGATACATAAATATAAAAATGTAAAAAACAAACAAAAAAAATCTTTGCTCGCAAGCTGTACAAAAAAGGCAGCGACTAGACTGGCCCTGGGGCCACAGTTTGCCAGCCCTACTCTAAGACTTGCTTGACTCACTTGCTCCTCAGAGCCCGGCCCTGGGAGCCGCAGCCCCAGACCTCGGCCACGAAGCCAGTGCCCCCCGGCCCACCTGCGATGATCTTCGCTGCAAACTCCCGGATGGACTTGAGGGACGCCAGGTCCAAGTGCCGGGCGTTGACGTGGTGATTGAGGGTCTCCCTGCGAATGTCCTTTGCGGCCGCCTCACACTTCTCCATGTCTCGACAGGCCAGGATGATGTTGCCTCCTGGAAGCCCAGGATAGAAAAAAATTTTAATACATAAATACATGAATGATCTACTCCTGGGTACCAACCCAAGAGAAGTGAAACACACGCCCACACAAAACACATACACCAGTGCTCACTGCAGGACTATTCACAAGAGTCGAAAGGCAGAAACAACCCAAGTGTCCACCCATGGATGAACGGATAACAAAATACGGTTTGTCCACACACGGGGAATATCATACGGCCATGAAAAGGAGTGAAGCACTGATACATGCTACAGTGTGGACGAACCTCAGAAACATCGTGCTCAGTGAAAGAGGCCAGACACACACGGCCACATAGCGCTGATTCCATGTGTATGAAACGTCCACAGAAGGCAAGTCCGTAGAGACAGAAAGCAGGTTAGTGGTCTCCCAGGGCTGGGGGGAGAGGGAGACCAGGGCATGATGGCTAAAGGGAGCAAGGTTTCTTTCCGGGGTGATGAAAGTGCTCTAAGGTGGACTATGGGATGGGGATGTTGCACCACTCCGTGAATATACTAAAAAGCACTGAGTCATACATTGAAATGGGTGAACTGTGTGGCTTATATCTCAATAAATCTGGTTTTCTAATTTTTTTTTAATAATGGAATTTTTTTTTTTTTTTGGAGACAGAGTCTCACCCTATTGCCCAGGCTAGAGTGCCGTGGCGTCTTCCTACCGCACAGCAACCTCGAACGCCCGAACGCCCGGCTCAAGCGATCCTCCTGCCTCAGCCTCCCAAGTAGCTGGGACTACAGGCATGCGCCACCACGCCCGGCTAATTTTTAGTAGAGACAGGGTCTTGCTCTTGCTCAGGCTGGTCTGGAACCCCTGGCCTCAAGCAATCCTGCCACCTTGCACGGGCCTTAATTTTATTTTTTTAATTAGAAAACTGAGAACAGAAAACAGGGACACAGCAAAGGACAGGAGGCGACAACGCCGACCACGGGGATCTGCATGGTTTTCCTGCCCACAGCTGATCCAGCTGCTCCTGCACATCCCGCGACCCCTCACACTCGCCAAGTCCAAAACGGACCTCATGAGACCTCCAGAATCTGCCTGTCCCCCTACTCCCTCAAAACCCCCTATGGCAGCCAGTGGGCGTGTCTTGCCAACTTCCCTTCTCACCATTTCCTGTAGGATCACGTCCCTCCCTTTGGGAATGCCTGTCCTGCCCCACATGAGGGCAGGGGGCTGCTGGTCATGATCCCCTACTGCTCTAACCTTGGGGGTAGACAGGCAACCCAGGCCTGGCCCATCGGGGACCCATGCCTTGGCCACCCCAACTCCACAAGCCCAAAGAGTTTCTGGTCTCCCCCAGGCCCCAACCTGCCCTCCCATCCCAGCTGACGGCGGCTCTAGTCTTCCAGCTGCTCAAACCAAAAACCCAACAGGAAATCCCACCGAATCCATCTTCAAGAGATCTGGAGGGCGCTTCCCTACCAGACTCCCTCCGTAACCCATCAACCCAGAGAAAAACACCACATAAACCCAAACAGAGGGGTGGCCTACAAGATGCCCAACCAGTAAGCCTATAACAGCTCAGGTCGGGTCCTGACCCTTGACCTCTGACCCTGGCAAGTCCCAGCCATTAGGACTGAGTCCGACGGCAGCAGGAAACAGTGAAGCCAATACAAAGTGAAAAACCAAGACCAAAACATGCTGAGGGTCAACAGTGTCCTCTGAGACCCCAAACCCTCCTTCATCTCTCCCAGGTAACAGGAGCCTTTTTGGCTTAAGCAGCTGTGAGTCTGGTTGCTGCCACCTGTAATCCTAATAACCCAATAACCTAAACATCTCGCAGGAAACCAAACCCTCTGCCCACGTAACCTCACGCCTCCCTGTCTCTGGCAGCAAAAGCAGGAAGGATTTCTTTTTCAATTTTTTTTTTTTCTGGTAAAACACACAGAGTATAAAATTTACCATCTTAACCATTTTTAAGTGCATGGTTCAGTGGTACTAAACACATTCACTCTGTCGTGCAACCATCACCACCGTCCACTTCTAGAACGTTCTCATGTTGCAAAACTAAAACACTGCACCCATTAAACAACCCCCCATTCCCCTCCCAGCCCCCAGCAAACACCATTCAACTGTCTGTCTCTATAAATTTGCCTCCTCCAGGCACCTCGCACAAGTGGTATCACGTAGTGTTTATCCTTCAGGGACTGGTTTATCCCACTTAGCATAATGTCCTCAAGATTCACCCCTGTTGGAGCATGTGTCAGAATTTCTTTCCTTTGTAAGGCTAAATAACACTCCATTTTATGGACACACCACGCTTTGCTCATCTCTTCATCTGTGCATGGACGCTTGGGTTGCTGCCACCTTTGGGCCACTGTGAATAACGCGGCACTGAACACAGCTGTGCAAATACGTCTTCGAGATCCAAAAGCAGATGGGATTTTACCTCTTTTGGCCAGTTCCAAGGCAGTTTGTTTCCCGATGCCCGTGTTGGCGCCCGTCACAATGACTGTCTTCCCATGTATGGTGGCCTTGCTGGGGCAAGCCCCGCCGGCGACATAGTCCCTGAAGGTGAAACAGCGCGATCAGTTCTGTCTGTGCCCTCTCACCCCGTGCGCCCCGACTCCAGGACTCTGAGCTCATCCCCCCAACTGCAAGATAGAAACGAAATCACATCACAACGCGGGATCACTGTCGTGTTCTCCATACAGGGCTCGACCCAGAATCTGGTGTGTGGAAAGGCCTGCATGAGGTGGCAACCGTTATTTTATAAATACCCTCTGTATGAGATTCCTACGGCTGCTATAACACAGTACTGAAGACTTAGCGACTGAAACCCACGCAAATGTAGCCTATGGTTCTGCGGGTCACAAGTCCAAAATAGGTCTCCCTGAGGTCAAAACTAAGGTGTCAGCAGAGCCACCCTCCTTCTGGAGGCTCTAGGGGAGAATCCAGTCCTTGTGTTCTCCAGCCCACAGAGGCCGCCCACACCCCTGGGCTCGTAGCCCCCTCCTCCATCTTCAAAGCGCATCACTCTAACCTCCGTCTCCATCCTCCCGTCTCCTCCTCTGACTCTGGCCCATTGCATCCCTCTTACAAAGACCCTATAAGATTACAAGGCCCCCCAGTAATCCAGGCCATGTAATCCCATCTCAAGATCCTTAACTTAAGCACATCTGCAAAGTCCCTTTTGGTATGTGAAGCACCATAGTCACAGGTTCTGACGATCAGGACGTGGACACCTTTAGGGAGTCATTATTCTGCCCACCACACCCATATCCCACAGAGGCTAATCACGGGAAACAAGCCGATGTCCACCAGCAGGGGCAGCCAAATAAACAACTCTACATCCACAGAAGAAGGGCACGGTGGCCACCAGCCACTTGAGGCTAATTTTTAATTTAATTAAAATTAAGTAGCCCTCCTTTATGCTCAATAGGCACATACGGCCAGTGGTGATCACAGTGGACAGCACAAATATAGAACACTTCCGTCATCACAGAAAATTCCT